ATGTCTTAGTGAGCGGCAATAGTCGGAATAAAATCGCATATTACAGAACACATTGTGCACAGGATCCCTTTTGTTACAAAGTTGGTTCTCATGCATTTTATCTCCCTTAAAAAAAAAAACGTGAAACAGGGGGGAACGAGTGCTCACTCATGTCTCCCCCCGCCCAACCCCCCCACCCCCCGCGGACCCTAAGGGGGCACGAGGTCCGGCCTCGCGTACTAACCCCGACGGAAGACGCACCCTAAGGGGGCACGAGGGATGACCTCACGTACCAACCCCGATGGAAGAGCCCGGTGGCACAGTCCCGTCGGACTGTGCCCGAGCAGCTAACGCGCACCCTAAGGGGGCACGAGGTCTAACCTCGCGTACAAACCCCGACGAAGGAGCCCGGTGGTTTGGTCCTGCAGGACTGGGCCCAAGCGGTTTGGCGCACCCTAAGGGGGCACGAGGTCCGACCTCGCGTACAAACCCCGACGGAAGAACCCGGTGGCGTAGTCCGGAAGGACTTAGCCCGAGAGGCTAACGTACCCTAAGGGGGCACGAGGTCCGACCTCGCGTACCAACCCCGACGGGAGAGCCCGAGGACATAGTCCCGTAGGACTTTGTTGAAGAGGCTAGCACATGGCAAAAAAAAAAAAAAAAAAAAAAAAAAAAAAAAATATATATATATATATATATATATATATATATATATATATATATATATATATATATATATATATATATATATATATATATAATACCGTGCCTACCTCGGCCAGCTGCCGAGGCCGGCCTCGGCAAGTTGTCGAGGTCCACCTCGGCAACTGCCGAGGCCCACCTCGGCAACTGCTGAGGCCCACCTCGGTGAGTTGCCGAGGTGGCAAAAAAAAAAAAAAAAAAAAATCATCCCAAGTATTTCAGGGAAAGGCGATAGCAGGTAAAAGGTGGCACCCGTTACTGAAGCAAAGGAGCCAATTGTTTATTCAAAATATTCAAAAAACATCCAAGTCTAGTACATCACCAAGGGAGAACAAGGTCGGCTACTTTGAGCTCGGGCCACGTGCGTGAGAAAGGTCGAGGCGCGGAGCAAACCGACCCGGGGGGAGCGGAGCAAGGAGGTGGAGCGGCCCAAGACACCTCGACTCAAGTCGCCTCGGCACAAGGCACCTCGGCCATGGTGAGTTCGGCTACATTCGCACATGGAGGTCCGGTCCGGATATTTACTCTCATTCGTTGACTCCTACTCGCAACGAAGAGAGTGGGGGACTCATGATGGATATATTATACCCACGACCCGACCCGGGGTAGCAACATGGACCCGGAGCACCTTGGTGGAGCCCAAGAGCAGCACGGACCCCGGGGACCACGGAGGTACCCAAGAGCAGCACGGACCCGGGGGACCACGGAGGTGCCCAAGAGCAGCATGGACCCGGGGGATCACGGAGGTGCCCAAGAGCAACACGGACCCGGGGGACCATGTAGGTGCCCAAGAGCAGCACGGACCCGGGGGACCACGGAGGTGCCCAAGAGCAACACGGACCCGGGGGACCACGGAGGTGCCCAAGAGCAACGCGGACCCGGAGCACCATGGAGGTACCCCAACCCGAGCGGACCTACGTGGAGCTCAGGTCGGGGAGCTCGGCCCTACTCGAGCTCGGCACCACCCGGGCTCGGGACCCGACCCGACCCGGTCCACCCGGGCCCGGTCAAACTTGAGATCTAACCAACCCCGATTTAAGGGGAGGCGGTTGGGGGGTTTGCTTGTATAAAAATCCCCCTCCTTGTCCTAACAAGGGAAAATTCATTCCACATTATACGATTATTACACACTTTTGTCCTACTGAATCTTTGTAATAGCCAAATACTACGGCAATTAATATAATATACGGTCCACCGCGACCTTTACGATATCGTTCTATATTATTTGTTTATTATTCTTATTATATATTCTTATCCGGGTTTATTGATTCGGGTCCACCCCGGGTTAATTAAATCCATCATATATATATTCAATAAAACAATGACACGTTCGGGAATGACATATGTTTGGGTGTCTAGCATGGTTTAACAAACTAGTAATTTATATTAACATAATTATAAAAAAAATATTGTTTTTGTAATTTTTTAAATGTTTAATTTTGAACTTCAAACTTATGTCAAAGTAAGCATTTGATGATAGAAACACCTAGCTTTAGGAGAACGTTTATATTTAGCTAAGTGGCGAACTTCACAAGCTTTATTTGTAACAGATAGTCTCGGAATATCTTTGAGCAAATGCAGTTTATTCATAGAAAAATGTCCAAAACGTTGATGTCATATTTCAACTTTAGAGTTAATACCTCTAATGGTCCTTCGAGTATTAGCGATTTATCAGTTGTGGTCATCTGAGTTTTAAATGACCTCCAATGGTTCTCCATGTTTTAAAAAATAACCACCCATGGTCCTAATTTTTAAAAAAATCCGAGTTTAAAATGACCACGAGGACGTCCTAAAAGGACCACGGGTGGTTATTTTTTGAAACATGGAGAACCATTGGAGGTCATTTAAAACTTGAATGACCACAGCTGGTAAATCACTAATACTCGGATGACCATTTGAGGTATTACTTCTTCAACTTTATTACATTGCATAACCACATTCTTATGGCTAACATCAGACGCATTGGCGGCTTCATCATCACATACAACCATTTTTCTTGTTTAGCCAAATCAACCATCGTCCCACAAGGTTTCTGAGTCATGCACTGCCCAGAGAAAAAAAATCAAATTATAATGTGTCTTGGAGCAATTTGCTTACCGACACTAAATTGAACTGGAAATTCGGAATATGCATGCCATCTTTTAACCATAGGTCACTGCCAAGTCTAATACACCCCTTATGTCTAACAGCAATGCGTCATCCAGTAGGTAGACTAACTTTATCTCCCTCAACAGCATAATATTCATCAAATGACTCAATGGAATTGATTAGTGATGACTCTAAGATCATATACATTGTTCATGACAGATGTCGCACCTAGCTTGTTGCTTAGCTTTGGATTTGTAGCCTAACACTCACCCCCGAGGATAGCCATGCTTTTTATAGCATTTGTCAATGGTATGTCCAGTCATACCACAGAAGGTGCACTTAGCTTTGTTTCCCCCATTGCTTGTATATCTTTTGGCATTGTATGTGTTAACAACAGCAATCATGTCATTTGTGGGAGTCTGGAGGTTCTGAATGGCATTGGCATGGTTGATCTCCAGATTGTTTATGTTTAAGCTTGCTGCATTGATTTGTCTCTCCAATTTCTCAGCCATAACATAAATCTTATACACTTTCGACAGAGGATCATGGTCGAAAACATTAGACTTTAGGCTACTGTATTCATCATTTAAGCCTTGTAAGAATCCAATAACCTGATCGACGTGGCGTTCCTTTCTGATTTCGTCGACGAGATCGCAGGCACATTGAGGATCACATTTGCAGACCGGAAGAGGCCTCAAGGCATTCATCTCTTCCCACATTATCTGACATTTTGTGTAATAGTCGCTCACAGATAGATTGTTTTGTTTCAAACTGTAGATTTCGTTTTGGAGAGTATAGATCCTCTTAGCATCGCACTGCGCGAACCTTCTCCTCAAGTCGTCTAAGACGTCTCTTGCCTTGTCTAGATGCATAATGCTTTGTGCGATGGAGGAGTGCACGGACTTGAAGATCAACAAGCACATCATCAGATTGCAACGCCTCCATGCCGGATATTGATTGTGCTCCCAGTTTGGTGCCGAGATACTGCCATCAATAATGCACCACTTACTCTTCACCTCCAAGACAATCCTCATGGATATGCACCAGGAACTGTAGTTGGAGCTACCTGCTAGAGGAGGACTCACAAGGATGGCGCATGGATTGTCGTTCGAACTGAGGAAGAATGGATTGTCCAGATCCTCCATAGTCTGATTTCTCTAGTCTGTGGAAGGGAGTTCCTCTGTGGAACCGTTCTCAGATCAGAATTTTTAATTTTCATGTGTATTGCAGAGTTATTATAATGTCTGTGTGTTTGAACCTATTTTGTTTTGAATTGTTTGGCTTTGTAGGACATGACACACCTTAGCTGGAAGCTGGTCCCATTTGCCTACGCTTACAAAACTGCAGCAGTTATAGTTAAGCTTTGACTAGGCACTATTATTCTCTCAGATCATATGGTACTTTAATTTTGTTTTCAGGTCACCGAATTGGTCAGTATGTTTTAATGAGGATGTTCAACAAATTTCCTGAACAGTTTAAGCAATTACTCAATCAAATATGTTGGGTAATTAGGTGGAAAATCTCAAAAATAATAATAATCCTACGGAAAGATTAATATTATATGGGAAAACAGAAAATTGGGAAGGAAAAGGTTGAGTGTTTGGGTATAGGTTTAGCACGAGTTCGAACACAAGGTTCTTTTCCTTAAAACCTTATTTGCTACCTCCCACAAGTGCTAGGAACGTTGTAGCCTAGGTTTCCCAGGATAAAACGTGCTACGATTCCGGCCTTTCGTTTTGTACTGTGTAAAATGCTATAACTTAGCAAGTGACTATACCAGATGGAAAATGATACCGAAATGATACCGAAGTTAGGCATAACTTAGCCCGCAAGGCCAGCCCATTTCCGGACGACATTCGTGCCCGCAAGTGCCAAGCACCCCCCCCCCCCCCGCGCGAGAGAGCCTCTATGCTATACAATTCTACAAGCTTGAAAAGAGCTCATGTATATAAGGGGGGCAAATCTTGTTTCCAAACCAATGTGGGACAAAGTCCTACATTTTCCCTTCATTTCCCAACTTAAATGGGTCTACTTTGAGAATCAATATCTCATTCACCCATTATCCGTTTTGAGCGTACAATATATCAATCTCTTCGTCTTACTACGAAGAATCCGAATCCACTCTGACCCGACCCAAATCGGAAGTGGACCCCACAGATAATTGTACCACAAAATAGCCACTTAATATGCCATTTTATGCCATTTTAAGCTAATTTTTCCAACAAAATATATATACAGATTTTTGGGTTCTACAACTTTAATTTGTTTACATTCTATAATGAAAGAATACAACTTGTTCCTGATCATATATAATGGATATTCTAAGGCTATTGAGCTTGAGAAATTGCATCCTGGAGACATATCAAGGTTCTTTGATGATATAGGAACCCCATAAACCAGAACTCAAAATGGTCTTCTGTGACTACTTGTATGTACTTCTCTGATGGATTCTTCAAATTCTCACTTTCATTTGCTCTCTTAATTTTTGCAATTGGGATTGATACCTTATAATGCATTCTCTTGGACTTTCCGGTTGAAGAAGGAATTTTGATTGATCTCTCACTAAGGAAGGCAAGTTTGTGTGTAGAAACAAAGAGTAAGCCAGGCATTGGACCAGATGTTGTTGATAAATAACATTGAGATGCCTTCAACAGCTTTTCGCCGTCTCTAACAGCACTGAAGTTCTTCTTGAACACTTTTTCGACGCCACCTGCTTGGAGAAGTTTTGCCCCAAGGATCAGCTTGCCTTTCACAGTGTCTGTTATCTTAGACCTTAGTCTCACTGGACCATAGAAATCAACTAATTATTAATAATTTATAATATATAGTTTCTTGCAGCTAGTGTTAAGTTAGTTTGATTGAATATATATATATATATATATATATATATATATATATATATATATATATACTAACCATGCTCTCTGATGCCTTTTGCAAAAGAGTCCACCCTTTCTCCACTTTTGTTCATCTTGCTAATAACTGCAGAATTCCCTTTACCTGCATTTTCACAAACTTTATCACTCAGCCATCTTTCTAGTTTTTTTTTTTTTTTTTTTTTTAAATGAAGAAAAGATTTTTTAAAGAAGTAATCTTACCATTTCTTAGTTTTGAAGAAGGGGAGAGATGGCATTGGGTGGCAGAATGAGGAAGAGCCCATTTTCTTTCTCTGATTCAATACAATTGCCCAGTAGTATATAGCAACCAATTCCTCTCCTATTCTTGATTTCATTTGGTTTTGCTTCATCTCTTGACTTTTCTTCTTTAATTTCTATAAGCAATTAGAACAAGAAATTATCTATCTGCTTGGAATGAGCTGCTTGCTTGTATTTCAACTGTACTGATTGTTATGTAAATATGTATTATTTATACGGAAGTTGAGTAGGCCGGGTGAGTCAGATTTAGGTCATCATGAGCCGAAAATATTAAAAGATGACATTCTAAATCCTTTTAGAAATTAAAGATATGATAAGATGATAGCATTTTAGTTGTAAATTAAACTTTTAAATCATATTGTTCCCTGAGTCAAAATGTAGTCTAAATAAAACCTGGGGTAGCCGAGTGGATTGGAAAATACTCATTCATCCTTAATCAAAAGTCAAAGGTTCCATCCTTGACTTTGAGTATGGAGCATTCTTAAATCTCCAAGGCAGTTGTCCCATTCGAAAGAAGTACCTATAATAATTGAGCTGGGCGAGGGAATTAGTTATTGTGTCCAACGGTGGATACCTAGGTACACCCTAAAAAATGTAAAAAAAAAAAATGTAGTCTAAATAAGTAGGAGGAGATATAATGATATGTTGAGTCAGCCTTTAATCTTTATGCTGATAGGTTGCATGTGTATTGTTAGTGCAACTTTTTTGGTGCCATATTTAGTGCTTTCTGATGGAACCTACTACGATCTGATCTTCATGAAACCAAAGCTTTGTTTCTTTGTATGGGCAAGCTAAGGGAAACTTCCCACATGCTGCTCACATGTTTTGAAGAAGCAGATGTATGTTTGAATGCTTATCTGTGGGATAAAAAGCTTAATTAAAGGGTTAAGCCCAGCACTCAGCGTCTTGAAGATGTGTGGCAGTATAAAAAATTAAAGTTAGACATTCGCTATTAACTGTTACTTTTGACATAGTGGTAAACTCTTAATTATCTAACAAGCGGTACGTATAAGAGCCAGGTCACGAGTTTGAGTCCCGCCAAAACAACCTGCATTTATCACCACCATCCATCATCAAAACTTTACTTTTCTCATATTTGATGTGTAAAGGCACAAGTTACACATGGAAAAATGTTGTGAGGCCAGCCGGCTGGGTTGAATGTTACTTTTGAGGTGAATGTCTATCCCCAAATCTTGAATTCATAAATTTCAAATCTGTGATCAAACATTTCTGATTGCACAACTTTATTATCATGGCCGACAAACTGGACCTGTTTTAATTTGGATATATAAAATGGGATTTCATGATGTTGTAATGTCTACTGGGGCTGTAGCTTTCTAATAAACTATATATATATTATTTGTAAATATATTGGAAAATTTTGCAGGCTATTGAGCTTGAGAGATCTCACTCGATCTGATCTTAAGGAAATTCAAGTTTCTTTGAAGGTTATAAATCCCATAAAACTCATGTAGCTATGTGCATCATATCAATTATATCCAGATAAAGATATATTGATGTTTCATATATTGATACACTAATTCATGTTATTTTAACTATTTGAACATTAGTTTATTATTATCAAAACAAATATCATTTTAAGTAACATATTTTGTAGGAAAATTTGTCAAATAAACCCTTAAGTTGAGATAATAGTGCAATAACTAAGTCCCTAGCTGAAAAAAAATAAATAAATCAATCTAAGCCTCTTAAACTGTTAAAAAAAAAGGTGCTATTAAGCTTATTGTGACCTGTTCAGCATGTTACTGTTGATTTGACTGACACATGGACATTCTATACTTAGGTGGTTAACATTTTTTGCTGATGTGGATACAAATGCTACAATTTAAAAAAAAAAAAATTAAACAATAAACAACAACCACTAGTTGCCTAGTTGGACAGGTCGGCAACTGTCTTCGTAGGCAAATTATGTTGATCAGGTGGGCACAGTCCCATATCCATAATTTCTATACTGTAAATTCATAAAATTTATATTTTAGATTCTAATTGTTGAACTCTATTTTCACAAATCAGAGAACTATATGTGCATAATTTGATAACTATACAGTTTAGAAATTAGGAATTTACAATACATAAATTATGAATCTACAGTACAGATATTATGAATCGAAGTATAGAAATTATGAATCTAGTGTATAGAAATTATGAATCTACAGTTTAAAAATTATGAATCTAAAGTATAAATTTTATGAATCTACAATTTAAAAATTATGAATCTAAAATATAAATTTTATGAATCTACAATATAGAAATTATGAATCTACAATATAAAAATTATGGATATGAAATCGTGTCCACCTTGCAAGGTGGGCACGTGCTCATAGCATAACGTTCTGTTTTCGTAACAACCATGACTATCATTAAACAATTTTAAATGTTTTTTAATGACAACCATAGTTGTGAAGAAGACAACAATGACTCTCAAGGTCCAAATTAAATTTCGATATCTCTTGAGAGGTTCAGATTTGGACCTCGGAGGTTGACGGAGGCCGCCTTCCCATGATGTTGACAACGCGGCAAATTATGCTGTGCATCCGTATGCACCATGCATGGTGCATACAGATGCAAAAATGACGTCGTTTTATTAAAAACGCGCGTCTCCCCTTTAAAAAAAAAAAAATTCAGGTTCGATTCCCAGCATGACTTGTCTATAAAAAGTTGAGAGGCCGCCAGTCGGGTCAGTTGTTTTTGAGGATGTGAATGCTTATCAGCAATTCACTCTACTTTTCTCATATTTGAGGATGTCTAAAGACACAAATTTGACCACCCTTCCAAATCACATCAACCTTAGCTTGTCTACAAAAAGATTTGAGGCCGCCAGTCGACTCAGTTCTCTGATTTGGACCTTTAATTTAATTTTTTGGATTAAACAGAATTCTATGATAGGGTCGACCACTTCGATCTTAATCTCCTCAACCTTTCGGACCTCATTTTGACATTTGACTTACACCTCTGCATATGAGAATGCTGATACGCAACAAAGGAAAGAAATAATTGGTGGTTTAATTAGGGGATGGTCTACAAGGAATGAATATATGTAATTAGAGGATAATTGACTAAATATTAGTATAAGGAAATTATGTATATTAGAATATATTATTACCTTGTATAGTTAGAATAATTGTAGTAACTTAATTATTATATGTGTTAGTAATTTAGTATAAATAGGTCCATTGTATATGAATACAGGGAACCATTCAGAGGAAATATATTGTTATTCTACTATTCTAGTCTATTCTTCTTGGAGCCCACATACGCTCGAAGTGTGAAATTGGAGTTTGCCGTGACTCGAATACGGTTAGGAGCCAGAAGCCTGCTCGAAAGGTTTCTTCAGTTGCGTACTAAATTTGAGTACGTAACATTGGTGCTTTCATTGAGAGTATTGGTGAGAGTATTTCATATCCTTTTGTTATTTTATTTTATTTTTTGTTTTTATCTCATTTTTTATAGCACCCCTTTGAAAATTCAAAAAAAAAAAAAAAAAAAAAAAAGATCTCAAAAAAAAAAAAAAAAAAAAAAACGAGAGAAAAGAAAAAAATACAAAAAAAAAAAAGTAGAGAATTATTTTTTATGGAAAATATTACTCACCGGTGCTTATTGGTTTCTGTACACCATGTATGGTATTCAATTGATGATTTTGTATTGTATTCGATCTTTTCTACAAAAGGATCTGTACAATATATTCATATTTTGAAGGATGAAAGTTACACTTTCCAAGCTTTGGTATGGTTTGATTCTGTCTTAGATGCATTCATGGCCAAACAAGCTCTTCATGGCCAAAATATTTACGATAACTGTTGTGTCTTAGACATTAAATATCCTAATTTGGAGTTGTTGATGGCTGTGTGTGGAGAATTACAGACGGACCAAGATGATACTTTGGAATGCCACACTCCTAATTATTCTAATCCAATTTCTCAAGAAGAACCAAGTAACCCAGAGTCTAAAGAATCATCAATAGCAATAGATCTCCCAACCACTCATGATGAAAGCAACATTCACAATTTCAACAACTTAGAGTCTATTGAGGATTATCTTGAGACAAGACTTGTGAGTCCTACTACCTTAGACTTGGAATTCAACATTGGAGAGCAAGAGATATTTTTAGACGGTGCAAGTCAAAAGGGGAGGAGACCATTTATGTGTCACGATCAAGCTCGTGAACCATTTCAATTTATTTTGCCAACTAGCCCCCATCCAAAGTTGCATGGACTGCTTCAACAAATATGTGTTTATTCTATTCCTCTCTACACCTTGAGGACAAGGTGTTTTTTGAAGGGGTGGAGAGTGATACGCAACAAAGGAAAGAAATAATTGGTGGTTTAATTAGGGGATGGTCTACAAGGAATGAATATATGTAATTAGAGGATAATTGACTAAATATTAGTATAAGGAAATTATGTATATTAGAATATATTATTACCTTGTATAGTTAGAATAATTGTAGTAACTTAATTATTATATGTGTTAGTAATTTAGTATAAATAGGTCCATTGTATATGAATACAGGGAACCATTCAGAGGAAATATATTGTTATTCTACTATTCTAGTCTATTCTTCTTGGAGCCCACATACGCTCGAAGTGTGAAATTGGAGTTTGCCGTGACTCGAATACGGTTAGGAGCCAGAAGCCTGCTCGAAAGGTTTCTTCAGTTGCGTACTAAATTTGAGTACGTAACAAATGCCTTCATATATGATACAAATTCAAATTGTATATATTGTTAGGAATAATTGTTATATAGATTTTGATGATGTTATTAGATGTATTTTAGGAACTTAGACTCTGGCAAACATTTTTCTTTGCAACCGCCAATGTTGAAATTACTATATAGTATATACTATCCTTGAAAATAGCAGTAAAATGTAAAAAAATAAAAATAAAAATATCATTGTAATATATCTTGTTTTTGTTATAGTGTCCCCCCCCCCCTCCAAAAAAAAAAAACTGATCTAGCCAACTGGCAGCCTCAAAACTTTTTCTAGACAGGCCAGGCAAGTTGATGTGAGATAAAAAATTTCTGCCTTTACACATCAAACATGATAAAAGTGATGTTTTGATGATGCAAAGATTGGTGATGATCAGATAAGAATTCAAAGATTTCATTTGATGCAACTTGAGACGTGAGTAGCATTACATGGAACAAAGATTTCATTTGTTGAAGGGCAAAAATATGTGAGATCAGAAAGCCACCCAACTTGCATGCAATCAGCATAGAGAACATGAGTCACCATATCATCATCCCAATATGATTTTGAAATAGAAATTAAAAACAAATGAAAACCCTATATTTCTCTTATTCTAGCTTTTAAACTTTTTGGCTCATGATGACCAAAATCTGACTCATCCAACTGAAGCTTAAGATCCACCAACTGCATACTACTTAACCTATATATACATTTTACTTATACAACAATCAGCTATATACCAGAAAGCAGTTCATTCGTATCTACTCACCCTTTAGGCCGTTGGAAAAAGTGCTTGCATTGTATTCTGTAATACATTTGAGATACAACAAAAATATAAAAGACAACAGGAAACAAAAACTGGATCATTTAATATCTTCATGCGTGTAATCACTTTCCTATAAGGTTTAAATCTCCATCTATAAAAGTAACAAGGTTCAAGATTTAATCTTATTGGATACAAGAAGATGAATAAAATTCCCAAGTTGCTTTGTTTAAGAATTTCCTGCAGAATTGTAAGCTTGTGAAATATCTTAGTGTACAACAATTTTATTGCATATATATATTAACATATACTCCAACTTCCACGCATGCAGTAACAAAGCCGAAAGTACACTTCTTATTTCGTTAACCAACGAATTGAGAAAGAGCCATCAACTTTCGCCAAATAATGAATTCGTTAAAAACCTTCCGCCGAAACCATTCACACGAATCGTGCACCAAAACAATTCAACAATTCAGTAATACCAACGAATCATTAAACTTTAATTCCAAAACATATTTCCCAATTTACTTTCTACCAAACTAAAATAATATTTATAACTCCACAACTCCAAATATTATTTAAGATTTCATGGTAGTCCATCTGAAACATTAAATCTCCATTACTATATAAATTTCCAACATTCCTCCTCCATTTATATAGTAAAATTAATAATGTACCAAGATAAATCCAAAACTCATGCATAAATGAAAGTGTCTTAGAGATTGAACTTTCACATAGTGTTATATGTGTTACATTAATTCGGATTGTAGTGATGGACGAACCTTGAATCACGCAGTCTCTTTGGAGAAACGTAGATATAACACACACAAGTTTTACAGTCATTACAACTCACCGTAACTTGACACTATTATGGCCATGTGTCCGTATCCATTAATGAGCACGTACCAAGTAGAGCCCAAACTTGTTTGAAGCGGCCACACTTCATGCTCACAGAGGCTAATCTTTTAACTCATGCATTGCATCTTGCATTTTTTCAAAAGATCAGTTAAGAATAAACTCATCCCTACTTCAATATAATGCTAGAACTAAACATCACTTTTCCTTGGGATACAAATTTTAATTTAAACTTTTGATGCTTGCAATTACAAAATGAAGTACTCATCTACATTGAACTCAAGGCCTAACGTAATAACTTAGATGTGAGTTGAACTTTTCTTCACTTGCAATTAAATAATTAGGCTTTCCATATCCCTTCCGATGTCTTTAGAACCATGTCCCTTGCAAAGACTTTTGCAAACGGATCCGTTAAAACCGGGACTGTACCAAGTCCAGTGCTACAACACTATTACTTAGGAGCTCCCGCACATAGCTATGTCACAAGTCTATGTGTCTTCACTTGCCATTATAACCATTGCTATATGCTTTGACTAGTGTAGTAGCGCCGTCACAGTGCACCAAAACTTGTGACATTGGTTTTGGCCAAACCGGAATCTCAATACTTAAATTCCTTAGCCAATCAACTTTCTTGCATGCCGAAGCCAATGCAATAAATTCAGATGCCAAAGTTGAATATGAAATGCAATTTTGCTTTTTAGAAGCCCAGGAAAAAACACCTCCTCCAAGCAAGCAGATAAACCCTTCCACTAATTGTGAAATAATCTTCCTAATTAGATATCCAACTGACATCAAAACGCGATAGAATTTTAATATTCAATCAATGAACTTGTGAAAATAAAATATTTGTTTGATTATACCGGAATCCCCTTTAGAGGTTCCCAGTCAATAAATATTTATTTCTTGTAAATTCTATAACCAAGAATTTCAATCACAATGTTGAACTCATTAACAGTGAGGGATTCCTTAAATAAAAAATTAAACCTCATCCATTTAGAATACCATCTACTTTGGAGAAATCATATACTGATAAACCTCATCCATTCAAGAATATCATTCACTTTGGAGAAGAAACCATTTTTTATTTAAAGCTTTTAACTTTTCATGTTTCTTCTAAACTGAAGAATCATACCAACTTAAATCATAATCCATGATTTAAATTTGAAATTCTTTTCACTGTCAACTTCCATACTAGATAAACTACCGGTTTCTTCGTTTCCACGGCCGGAGACAAAGAGTTTCTTCGTCTCCATGGCTGGAGACGAAGAAGGTTTCTTCGGGAAAACCGAACCGAATTGTCCACCCCTAAAGTTAATTACTGAAATGGTCCCTTGACTATAGCAAAATTATCAATTTGGTCCCAAGTTAATGGATGTTTAACGTCAAAAACAAACGGAGAACCAAATTGGTTAAAATTTTTAAAGTTGAGGGACTTAATTGGTCAAAACAATAGTCAAGAACCAAATTAGTAATTTTGTTATAGTCAAGGGACCATTTCAGTAATTAACTCATTCTAGTATAAGTACTACATTTTTATACCGATTTTACGAACAAGGATCTATGAAGTGCTACCGCACAAGTTTTTACCAAGTAAAACCATTTTACTCAATCCATTTGTTTACCACTGTTCTAAAACATTTTGTTTGTAAAAGGGAAAATGACACTTTTTCTTCTGAGTTATATACTTATAGCAATTTTTTCCCCCTGAAGTATTCAAGTGACAGTTTTTTCCCCTGAAATGTTAAATAGACATATTTACCCTTAAAACAATTGGAGGGGCTAATATGCTTACATGAATAATTCAAGTGAAAAATGTGCTATATACATATAATTCAGGAGGAAAAAGTGTCATTTTCCCATTGTAAAAAGGTTAAGAATTTGCATTTTTTAATTAATTAATTAATTTTCCTTTAGGTAGTAAAGCAAGATGGTTTGAGAAAATGGAAGGATACTTAACAGGGAAGGAGCTTCCCCACATTCTTAATTCACATAACCAATGAATATGGATTGGTTATCTGGATTAGCTCCGATCCTTTTAGGAATTAATTTTCTATCTTTCTTTTTATTTATTTATTTTTGGAGGCAGACCAACCTTGAAGGCAGCCAGCTTTATTGCCTTTTCTTCAAGTCATGGTTTAATCTTGTCCTAACCAAACCACATCAAAACTACATCAAGTTAAAAATCAAATTTTGACTTCGGATAGATTCTCATCCTCTAATATTTGGAGAGGTTTAATGTGGATGCTTAACAAATTTCAAGAACTGCTTCAACAATATAAATTTGTCAAATCATTTATACAGGCTTTAATTTTGATCTCTACATTTTACAAGGAATATATATTTTTATGCTTCATCATAATGGGTATTTCTATGAAAACTGAGCCGATTGAGAAATTGCATCCTGCAGATATTTCAAGGTTCTTTGATGTTGTTGGAACCACATAAACCAAAACTCAAAATGGTCTTCTGTCACTACTTGCACATACTTCTCTGATGGATTCTTCAAATTCTTACTTTCATTTGCTCTTTTAATTTTAGCCATTGGGATTAACACCTTATAATGCACTCTCTTTGACTTCCCACTAGAAGAAGGGACTCTGATTGATCTCTCACTAAGAAAACCAACCTTCTCAGTAGAAACAAAAAGTAGGCCAGCCAATGGACCAGCTGTTGTTGATAAACAACATTGAGAAACCTTCAAAAGTTTTTCACCTTCTCTAGCACTGAAGTTGTTCTTGAACATCTTTTGAAAGCCACCCGCTCGGAGAAGCTTTGCCCCTAGTATCAGCTTGCCCTTCACACTGTCGGTTATCTTTAAGGAGGTAGTAGTCTTACCATTTCTTGTTTTTGATGGCTTTGAAGAGAGAGACAGATGGCATTGGGTGGCAGAATCAGGAAGAGCCCATTTTCTTGAGCTCTGATTCAATAAAACTGCCCAGTTTATTGGAACCTGGCTCTCAATTCTTGATTTGATTGTCTGATTTTGCTTCATCTCTGACAAAATTTTCTTCTTTAATTTGTATTGGCAAGGATAACAAGAAATTATCTTTGCTAAAGGGTGAGTATGTAGACTTGAATGAGCTGGTTTCTGGGATAAGTGATTCTTTCACAAATAATGTGTATTTATAGGGAGTTGGTGAATCTGAAGTTTCAGTATGGTGAGTCAGATTTATGTCATCATGAGACAAAAAAGTCAGAAGATGACTAAACCCTTTTAGAAAAGATACCATTAGCATTACATGTTGAGTCAGAAATCATGCTAGTCCCTGTGTCAAAAAGTAGTTGGGTGGTGGCTGGTCTTAACAGGTAGATGATAGCTTGCATGTGATGCAAGTACTGTTGGGCAGAGATCGGTAAAGATCAAATTTATTACCCGTTAAGTGGGGGATTGTTGGGATAAAGGACTAAGTCTATCACCTAATATCTTGAAATTAAAATATGTGGCAATATGATAAAATAAAGTTGCGTATTCACAGGGGCGGAGCCAGGATTTGTTGGTGCGGGGGCCAATCACAATTTGAGAGAGAAAAAGTACTTTCGTTGTTGTGGAATAAGAATCCTTCATAACTTAATGCACGTATTGAATTTGGGGAATATGAGTCGAGAACATCTTTCACAATCCCTGGAGAGATGGTTTACTAATAGACCGAGGGATGTAATTTGACTCATTCACATCCCGATCATGAATGTTTGGGATCCATATTATGCAAGGAGACATTGCTCTTGCTAATTCGAATTGAAGGGTGATAGACAATCGGTTTATTTCCGCCATCATCTCCTTATCCATAGTTAGCACATTCATCCAAGTTAGCAGTTCCAGCTCCGTATCAAGGTTTATTAATACCATCATTATGACTTTTGTATTATATATCTATATATTGTCATGTATTGTGCGTAAGAATGTAAGGTGAAGACATGAATAAAGAAAAAGCACCTTCTCTCTCTACTCTCTTGGTTCCTACATCTTTATGTTTATTCTATCTCTTTGAGTATATGACCTGCAAGTTCACCGGTTAGGAGTTGATAGGCCAACAGACACTATAAAATATAACACCTTATAGATATGTGGATATGATATTTAGATTATATGCATTTTCTTTTCGAATCATCATTTCTTTTTACAACACTGTTTATTATTCAAAATCAAAGTGTGCACAATTGATGATCTTAGAGTTCAAACTGTCATTTTCAAATATTAGAAATAATCAACCTACATTAATATCTTACACAATTTGTAGATCTCTTTGTTCAAAAACTACTTGCATTCAAAATCAAGGACAATATGTGTTTTGATCTATTTGTATATATCAATCATTTTTTTTTTGAATCTCAATTACAAATAAAAAAAAATGTAATTGAAAGCAGTAGTGAGTATTTGGGCTAAATAGTTTAAAGAATGTTCGACTACAAGATTATTGGAAACCCTCATATTTTTCATTTTCTAAATACATCTGAGTCAAAGGTTGTGATTGGATTTGTCAATATGGCTTTGTGGTTAAACCCTGTGTGTTAGGCTCCCATCCCCTTATACAAGTAATATATAGAAAAAAATATCAACCTACCGTTTTGGGGGGGGGGCAAGCCACCAAGGCCCCTGCTGCGGCGCTGCTGCTCAATACAGGAGTACTAATTTAAAAAAAAAAATGTTAAGGGAGGGGGGGGCAAGGCCCCCTGCTACACACAGGTGGCTCCGCCCCTGCGTATTCACTACTAGCTATACTTTTCAGCATAGTGATAAGCGTTTGATCCTAACATGTAGTTACAATCTTCAATTTATGAAATAAAATCTGTGTTTCTTGTATTGGGCAACGGAAAGTTCCCACATGCTAGCAGGTGAGGTGACTCACAAGTAGTGAAAAAGCAGGTGTTTGAATGCTTATCTGCATCACCATCATCTAAACTTTTAATTTTCTCATATTATGATGTGTAAAGGTGTAAGTTTTAGGCTAGCCACATCCCAATCACACGAACCCTGTCAAGAAAAATGTTCTGAGGCTAGGTTGTTGACAGTTGAATGTTATTTTCAATTCACCAAATCATGAATTCATAAACTTCAATTTTGTGAATAAAGAATTGGATCTGATGGCAGAACGTTAAAATGGTGGACAAACTAGATGGACCTATTTTGGCTAAATCACAGAACTTTCATGACGGTTGCACTCTTTCGTAACCTGCCATGTTCCTGTAAATCTGTAATATCTATTGGGCCCTGTTTGAGGAAACTTCCCAAATGTGCTGCATCTTTCTTTCATTATTTCTTTTCACAAAACAGATTTAGGCCGTGTTTGATGGAGCGTTATGCTGTGCAACCGTGTTCACCATGCATGGTGTATACGGTTGTAAAAACGACGTCGTTTTGACGTTCGACTTAAAAAAAAATAAATAATTCAGAATTGCATAACTACACATCCATAACTTCAGAACTATACATCCAAAATTGCATAACTACACATCCATAACTTCATAACTATAAATCCAGAATTGCATAACTACACATCCATAACTTCATAACTATAAATCCAGAATTGCATAACTACACATGCATAACTTCATAACCATACATCCAGAATTGCATAACTACACATCCATAACTTCATAACTATAAATCCAGAATTGCATAACTACACATCCATAACTTCATAACTATAAATCCAGAATTGCATAACTACACATCCATAACCTCATAACTATACATTCAGAATTGCATAACTACACATCCATAACTTCATAACTATAAATCTAGAATTTCATAACTACACATCCATAACTTCATAACTATACATTCAGAATTGCATGCATAACTACACATCCATAACTTCATAACTATACATTCAAAATGTGAAATTATAACTTCATAACTATACATTCAGAATTGCATGCATAATTACACATCCATAATTTCATAACTATAAATCCAAAATTGCATAAGTACACACATCCATAATTTCATAACTATAAATCCAGAATGTGAAATTATAAAATTATGAACATATGTTTACGTAACTAACGGCAATCGAAAATGATTTTTTTTAATTTAAGTAAAACGACGCCCTTTTTGCATCCGTGTGCACCATGCATGGTGCACACGGATGCACATCATAATTTGTCATGTTTGGTAACATAGTTAACTTATCAGTTATTTTGACTTATTTGACCACTATTAACTGTTTGACTTGGTTAAACAATCAATATAAATGTTTAATTAATTAACTTTTTGTAACAGCGTAGCTTATTTCTCCAAAAAGGTTAAAATTCATAGTACTAATCAAAGCAGCTTTTTTGATTAACTTTTTGAAAAAGTCATTTTGTATGTAATCAGCTAACAACTAATTTACCAAACATTTTTAATTTCTACAATCAGCTAATGCTATCAACAAGTCAAATCCACTAATCTAATAAGCTAGCAGCTATTTACCAAACACTCCTAAATCATTCAAATCAAGTTTATTTGAATGCTTTTAAATCCCATAAATCACAAATGAAGATATTCAATGTTTAGGTAGTGCATGTAGTTACATGCATCATATCAATTATATCCAGTAATGCGTTAAGCTGATGCAGAAATGTAACTAATGTTCATACAATTTAACCATTTGATATGGACTGCTCAAATTCCCATTTTCATTTAATTTGTTGAAAAAATTAGTTATTTTGCCATGTAAATGACCACTTTTAAACATAGTTTTGAGTGGGGTCAACTTATGATTTAGATCGGGACAAAGAGTCTCGAAGTTTAATTCAATATATAATAAACTCAAAACAGATAATGTGTGAATGATAAATTGATTCTCAAAAATAGACTCATTTGAGTTGGAAAAAGAGTTCTACTACATAGACTTCTAAAATTCTACTCTCTCATTTATACTAGCTCCCTGATGTGGCATACCAGGATTGATTATTTTCATCATGTGGGTCCACAAAAAAGTGTCTACATCAAGAACATGTGAGAGAGAGTACAAGTTGGGAGTTTAAAATGAGAATGCACCAAGTATTTTCCTTGAAAAAAATGGAGTTGATCTGAAGAGACTTTGAAAGAGTTTTTTTCTCACATTGAAAACGGGAGTGCGTTTGCACTAGTATATATACGATTCCCTTTCTAAAAGAGTTTGAATTGTATAACTTAAATACTCTTTCTTGCACGCAGAGGCCTCGACATGCATCCCGGGCTAATGTCTCACACGGACCGAACCTTTCATTTGCGCTTGTTATTTTGAAAAGTACCCAACATCATTTATCATATCCTTTTTTTTTTTTTTTTTTTTGGTAATTGGGATTAACACCTTATAATAAGCCAATTCCTTGTTGGCTGAGTTGATAAACATGGCCAGTAGTATAGTGGAAGCATATATATT